CGTCTTCCCTGCTCTGTCTTCTTCCTTCCTCTCTCTCTTTAGAATGTCCCGCCTAACCTTATTCTGCCTTACCATTGGCCAAACAGCCTTATTTATCAACCAATCAGAGCGACACATTTTCACAGCAAACAAAATGACATCACCCATCACCCCCACACACACACACTCACACATACACACATACACACACACACACACACACACACACACACACACACACACACACACACACCAGGCCTTGTCTGTGGTAGCTAACCCAGTATAAATGGAGCAGAACTTGACTGTACCTGATGCTTAGGGGACTCCTTTTTTTGTTTGTTTTTATTTTGTTCTTGTTTGTTTTGAAACAAGGTTTCTCTGTGCAACCCTGGGTATCCTAGAACTCACCGTGTAGACCAGGCTGACCTTGAACCCAGAGATCTGCCTGCCTCTTCCTCCCAAGTGCTGGGATTAAAGGCATGCTCCACCATGCCTGACTCAGGTGACCCTCTTACTTCAGGACCTGAGAACCCTCACTGTGGCCCCAAACAGCTTCCTCAGCCCACATTGGGACTTTTCTCCTCTACTTAGGAAGGTGTCCACAGGGATACTGTGTCAAGATCACAGTAATACCATCTGTTATCTCCTGATGATGGAGAGAGGAATGGCTGCTCCTGCAAGGGGCTGCTTAGGAGCAAGGAAATGTGCCTTGGTCATTTCTAGTGATGAGGGATGATCCTGGGGCTTTATCATTTGGGAGCATGGGACAGCATCCCCTACCCTACTATATTTAAAGGAGACTCTGGCCACCAGCAGTCCCTTTAATCTGTAAACATTTCAGCATATTGATGGCTATAATTGAACTACTCCAGAAAGCAACTTGGTTCCTCCCACCTCTATCCTATAATCTTTTCTTTTTTTTTTTTTTTTTTTTTTTTTGGTTTTTTGAGACAGGGTTTCTCTGTGTAGTTTTGGTGCCTATCCTAGAACTTGCTCTGTAGACCAGGCTGGCCTCGAACTCACAGAGATCCGCCTGGCTCTGCCTCCTGAGTGCTGGGATTAAAGGCGTGTGCCACCACCGCCTGGCTCCTATAGTCTTTTTATATTTATATATATATATATATATTTTTTTTTTTTTTTGGTTTTTCGAGACAGGGTTTCTCTGTGTAGTTTTGCGCCTTTCCTGGTACTCACTTGGTAGCCCAGGCTGGCCTCGAACTCACAGAGATCCACCTGGCTCTGCCTCCAGAGTGCTGGGATTAAAGGCGTGCGCCACCACCGCCCGGCCCTATAGTCTTTTTTTTTTTTTTTTTTTTGTTTTTGTTTTTCGAGACAGGGTTTCTCTGTGTAGCTTTGCGCCTTTCCTGGTACTCGCTTTGGAGACCAGGCTGGCCTCGAACTCACAGAGATCCACCTGGCTCTGCCTCCCGAGTGCTGGCCTATAGTCTTTTTAAATGACAGTTAACAAGGGTGTACATGTGCACACACAGGTATATCTACTTTTTCTCTCCGCTTACCGAGATTCTATGTAAGTTCTTAATGTGTCCATAGTATTCTTGAATCTTTAAAAATGTGTATCACAGCCGGGCGGTGGTGGCGCACGCCTTTAATCCCAGCACTCGTGAGGCAGAGGCAGGCGGATCTCTGTGAGTTCGAGGCCAGCCTGGGCTACCAAGTGAGTCCCAGGAAAGGCGCAAAGCTACAGAGAAACCCTGTCTCGAGAAACCCAAAAAAAAAAAAAAAAATGTGTATCACATTTAGCTGTCTTGTAAGAGGGGGTCATACTGCATCACACATGTGGCGATCAGGAGACAAGCTGCAGGAGTTAGTTCTCGCCCTCTGCCATGTGGGTCCTGGGAATTGGCATGGTGACAAGTGCCTTTACCAATGAGCTACCTCGCTGGTCCTTATTCTTAAACTATTTACTCTGTTGCATAAGATATACTCTTCATTCCTAATTTTTTTTAAAGTTTTAAAATTAAATAAGCCAAAATTTTAGCTTTTTACTTATTTTTTAAATAATTTATTTTTATTTTATGTGCATTGGTGTTTTGCCAGATGTATGTCTCTGTGAGGGTGTCAGATCCCTTGGAACAAGAGTTACAGACAGTTGCCGGGCGGTGGTGGCGCACTCCTTTAATCCCAGCACTCGGGAGGCAGAGCCAGGTGGATCTCTGTGAGTTCGAGGCCAGCCTGGACTACCAAGTGAGTTCCAGGAAAAGGCGCAAAGCTACACAGAGAAACCCTGTCTCGAAAAATCAAAAAAAAAAAGTTACAGACAGTTGTAAGCTGCCATGTGGGTGCTGGGAATTGAACAGTGCTCTTAACCCCTGAGCCATCTCCAGCCCCTGCTTTTTACGTGTATATTCATTTAAAATGTCTGTAATTGTAGACTCCTCGCCTATGCTTATGGTTAGCATGGTAGCTAATGGGCAGCACTAATGTGTGTGGACAGGCTGGACCAGGGCCCCTCTTCTGTGTCAGTGCTGTGGGGTCCAGCAGCACGCCGTCCTCACATGCCCAATTGCAGAGTAGGCAGCCGCTTCTCTCCCTACTCTTGTTCCTGTCACTCTCTGGGATTGAGACTTGACCTGAACAGCCCTCCTCAAAACCTATACCTCCTCATTTCTATCCTGGGATAGAAATAGGCATCATGTGGTCAAACTGTAGAGTAAACATTTTGCTCAGAGGAGACCTACTCTAAGGCATATTGTTTGGGCACAGCACTGCAAAGCTGAGCATGAGCAGCAGGCCCAGGCACTGAGCTCCTGTGCACTGAGCTCCCGTGGTGATCCATGGGCATCCAACTGCAGAGCTACAAGAGGCAGACCTCCCTCTGTGCCATATGCACCTTTTTGTTGTTGTTGTTGTTTTTTTTTTTTTTTTGGTTTTTCGAGACAGGGTTTCTCTGTGTAGCTTTGCGCCTTTTCCTGGAACTCACTTGGTAGCCCAGGCTGGCCTCGAACTCACAGAGATCCGCCTGGCTCTGCCTCCCGAGTGCTGGGATTAAAGGCGTGCGCCACCACCGCCCGGCTTGTTGTTGTTTTTTTTTTTTTTGGTTTTTCAAGACTGGGTTTCTCTGTGTAGCTTTGGCACCTTTCCTGGATCTCCCTCTGTAGCCCAGGCTGGCCTCAAACTCACAAAGATCCGCCTGCCTCTGCCTCACGAGTGCTGGGATTAAAGGCGTGCGCCACCACCACCCCCCAGCTCATATGTACCTTTTAACTCTGCTGGCCTAGAAACTAACTTTTGAAAGCAACCCTGGTTTCTTTCTTTCTTTCTTTCTTTTAAGATTTATTTATTTATTATGTATACAGCATGTATGACTGCAGGCCAGAAGAGGGCACCAGATCTCATTACAGATGGTTGTAAGTCACCATGTGGTTGCTGGGAATTGAACTCAAAACCTCTGGAAGAGCAGTCAGTGCTCTTAACCTCTGAGCCATCTCTCCAGCCCGCAACCCTGGTTTCTTATGCTGCCGTTTTATATTCCCTATGACTCTGTAGGTCATGCAGAGCCCTGTGGCGTCCTGCTACAGCCCTGTACTCTCCAGCCTTGACTCTCACTCTTCTCTACCTCCCATCCATATAACACAGAGCCCACATCTGTCTTCTCTTTCTGCCCCCTCCATGCTCCCATACACATGCCTTCTGTACTTGGTGCTCTGCCCCTTCAATGATGGGTAGAAAGCCACCACCGACAGTGGCCAGTGGGTGAGAAGTAGGGCAGGTTGTGAGTGCTTCAGCAGATATTCAAGGATGGGTGGCTCTTCACAAAGGGTACCCTGAAGTCTGGCAGCTCGATCCAGCAGGGGTGCGCTGTCATCATGACAGGAGCCAAGTGGAGTGTGGTTTGAAGCATGTACCATAACCACATTCTTTTTTTGGTTTTTTTTTTTTTTTTTTTTTTTTTTTTTTTTTTTGGTTTTTCGAGACAGGGTTTCTCTGTGTAGCTTTGGAGCCTGTCCTGGAACTCACTCTGTAGCCCAGGCTGGCCTTGAACTCACAGAGATCCGCCTGCCTCTGCCTCCCAAGTGCTGGGATTAAAGGCATGCGCCACCACCGCTCGGCCCCCATAACCACATTCTTGACATCCTGGAATGCACGATGCAGAGCAGGGACCACATGTCAGTAAGTAACTGGCCAGAACCCAGGAAACTGGAGCCCTGAGAGGGCATGCAGCAGGCATAACTGAGTCCAAGAAGGGAAGCATCAGCACAAGGGACAGCCAGACCTTCAAGGCTTTGGTTACTCACCTGAACTCTAGGTCACTCTGCCCTCCAAAACATGGGGCTCTGTTATTCTGCAGAGTGGTCCACCCTGGCACAGCAAACAACATGTGAGGGATTGGCTCTTGCCTATAAAAAGTGGACAGCACACCATGGTGTGTTGACCTACACAAAGCAGTACAGCCAGCCTGGTGCCTACCTAAGAGCCAGCTCCTGCTACTTTTCTGTACCTCCATGTCCCATACTGCATAGTCCATACTGCAGGAAATGTCACCAGAAGCAAAGGCACACACAGGATAATAGAGCTAAGGGAAGCCTCCAGATAGATGTCAGGGCCCAGGTGAGCCTGGCCAGGCAGGTGGTCTGCAAGCAGGCTGCAGCGCCTTCTCTCCAGGTGCAGCACCTACCTGCTGCATCAGCTGGGCTCAGCCAGCAGTGCTGCTTTTGTGTCCTGTGTGCCGGGCTCCACTTGCCACTTCTTCTCATTGGTTCACTCCCTCTCCAAACCACTGCTGCCTTTCTGTGTCACCAGCTGAAGCATCTCCTTGTCTGGTGGGGTGTCCCATAATCTTGTTTGTGTGGCATTATGAGGACAGCCTGGTAAATGTCTTCCTTTCCTGTGAGACTGCATGCCAGATGCAGAACACCAAGGAGCCCACACCAGCCTTGCCCCTTTTGCCGTGACCCAGCTCCACCAGCCTCATGTTGAGCTGGCCTGCTGCCGTCTCTGGTGTGCCTCTAGCTCCCTAAACCTCTTGTCCTTCTCTGAGGACTGCCCCTTCCTGTTTCCAGCCTGCCGGGGTCACCTTGGTCAGCGTCCATTCTAGCCCCAATGACCAGATGCTGTGGGCCCTGGACAGCAGATGGAATGTGCACGTGCGGACTGGGATCACTGAGGAGATGCCTGTGGGGACGGACTGGGAGCATGTGCCAGGTAGGGACAATCCAACAGATATCCCATTGTCCCCCACACAGCTACAGTTATATTTATCATCACAGCCCATGGTGCCAGGCAAGACAGGAACTGAAATTCTTACGGGGCTATTTAACTTGAAGCCTTGAGCCCCATTTTCTGTAAAAACAAGCTGTCACCAGGGACCACGTGGAAGTCCTGGGTATCCTGTTGGGTCTGAGATGTTCTGAAGTAGGAACCAGGTAAAGATCGGAAGGGCATGTGTTGCTGGGAGAACCCAGGCCAGCTCTGCGGGGTTTATGGAAATATAGCTTTCTCAGTGCCCAGACCCATCTGTGACTAGGCTAGCCTGCTTGGGGCACCCTCTCCCTTGGTGCCCAGAATCATACAGTGTCACCGTGCGGAAGTCCTGGTGGCCAATACAGTGTCTGAAGAGAGCAGTACTGGGAAGGGTGCTCTGTCCTGTGTGTTCCAGAGATTAGCTGATACCCAGTTTGCCCACAGGGTTACAGGCCTGCCAGTTGGCACTGAGCACCAGGACTGTGTGGGCCCGCTGTCCAAATGGTGACCTTGCCCGCCGCTATGGCATCACAGACAAGAATCCTGCTGGGGACTACTGGAAGAAAATTCCCGGAAGTGTGTCATGTTTCACAGGCAGGTGCTGGGGCATGGTGGACTCGGTGTATCCTGAGGGGAGGAGGGGCATATGTGAAGAATCTGCCCCAACTCAGCTCCACATCTATACAGCCGGAGCCCAGGACAAGGCCTACCTGTGGGAGGGCTAGACACGGGTTCTGGGAGTCACCTGACGGGAACAGGATGTTGCACTGCTTGGAACAAACTGCTGGTGCAGCTACTTAACACTTGTAATCCCAGCACTTGAAAGGCTAAGGGGGTAGATTGTTGTGAGTTCCAGGCCAGTCTGGACTACAATGTGAGTCTCAAAAAAAAAAAAAAAAAAAAACTGAAAAATTAAATTGAGAGAACAAAGTAGCAGTTGGGGAAATGACCGGCTCTTCCTTATCTCTGAGCCAGAATGTCACAAGTCCAGACTGGACCCAGGGCCCGACCCACCACCTGTGCCCTTTGTCTCATACCATGTGGTCTACAAGACTGTGATTGGCTGTTATCTTTGCAGTGACCTCATCAGACGAGCTGTGGGCAGTGGGCTCCCCTGGCTATCTTCTCCAGCGACTGACAAAGACGTTCAGCCACTCACACAATACCCCAAAGAACAGCCAGGCAGCCGCCTTCCACCCTGAGGACCTGGAGGATGAGTGGGAGGTCATCTGAAGGAGCCCCAGACAGCCAGTCGGGGAGGAAACTGAGGCTCTGTGATGGATGCTGATGTTTCCTAGTGGCTCACTTGTGGACATGCCTCATCCACCAGGCTGGCTACCCCACACTTGCTTTCCTCTGTATTTGTTTCCATCTCATTCCAGAACTCACAGCCTCAGCCATGTGCCCGGAGCTGTCACTGTAGCAGCAGCACCTTCGACATCTTGCCAAGGTCACCTCCAAATGGGAGCAGTGGCTGCTGCTGCTCAGTTGCATGCACTTTTGTTACCTGTGCACCACAGTAAATTCTCTTCAGCAACTACAGATCCTGGTGTGTGGGCCAACAGGGACACCGCCATAGGCAGATGAGTCAAAGCCAGGAAGAGTCAGGCACGTGTCCAAACAGGCCTGCTGGTTGACTTCATCACAGAGTCCCTCACATCTCTCTGAGGTACAGGCCACAGTGGACGTCCCACACTAGACATTCCAGGTGGGAAAGTACCATCGAGGAGGGAGGCTGGACTGTGCAGGGAATACACGAACACATCCTTGCCTCATCATGTTGCCCACACTCAGGGTAGCTGCCCACGTCAGCCAACACAACAGCCAATTGGTGAGACAGAGCACAGAGGTGCCCAAATGGTCCATTTAGTCCAGCACAGGGTGCTGGTCAGACACAGTGGGGAGAGGCTGAACCAATCTATAGACATCTTTGGAAAGACATTTGACTAGTGTGCTGCTGGGCACCCTAAAGCCAGGCACTTCCTCAGATGATGAATCTAGTAAATTGCCTTCTCATTTGTTGTGTTACAAACCTGAATAAGATACCTCATTTTAGATGAAATCTCACAAATTTAGAAGATAAATGTATCTTCTGAAAACAGTGAAGGTCTTTTGTTCCTTCAGGAGGTTTATCCTAAGCCCACCTTATCTTGGTTAGAGCTTTGCAGGGGTGGCATCCGATCATGTCCTCAACCCAAGAGCAGCCAGTGTCTTCAGTGGACATGGCATTGACTCCCCCAGCAGCTGGGAAGAAAGAGTGCCTCCTGCTCACAGTTGCCATGTCCGTCACCATGTCGGCACAGCAGCACTCTCTCCTCAGGCTTCAGGGCAGGCTGCCCACAGTGTGGCCTTCCCTGAGCCTGCTGCCCCACCTAGGAGGTCCCTGTCACTGCTCCACACTGGCTGCTTTTTTTAATCCACCTGCTCCAGGCGGTTACTTGACGTCTGTTTTCTACTGCGCATGTGTCAGGCCCCTCAGTCCCAGTGAAAGGCCCCAGCAGTCATGAAGCAGAGGCTCCAGGTCTCAGCAATGGTGAGCGGCTGAGACTTGACTGCACTTCATTTTATACACTCCTTTTTGTAAAAGTTCAGCAGCAGCCCCAGCTTGGCTGCGCCCCTTCTGTGAATGGTGTGCCTTGCCTGGCTCCCCACAATGGCAGCACTCCCTAAGCCCGCGGGGACGATAGTGCAGTTAAACCCAAGTTAAGCGGACACCTCAAAACTACTTTGAGCTTCAGTGCTTTGTATGATTTTCTTTTGGGTTTTATATTTTAGTTGTACTTTGAGATCATGCAAAATGTTAGACTTTTTCCAAACGTGAAGTCTGGTGACTGAGCTGAGAGGCCTGCAGCGGACCATCTCCTGCTGGCCTGCAGAAAGCCCACCAGCCCAGCCACACTGCAGCAGAGCACCATTGCCTGGTCTTGGGACCTGGATGGTGTTGAGCCAGCTTCCCAGGGTGGGATAGTGGGCATTGGCTACTCCACAGATAGACACACCCTCTGGCAGCCCTGGAGAGAATGCTCCAAAGAAGGCAGAATGAAGGGCTGTCCCAAGACATTAGTCTTTCATTGTTTTAAGACAGTCTTATGTAGCCCAGGCTAGCCTCTAATTCACCATGTAGCTAGCCAAGGATGGCTTTTTCTGATCCTCCTTTCAAGTTCTAGGATTACAGGTGTGCACCACCATGTCCTGCTAAGATGTCTATGAGTATAGCTCACTTTCAGAATCCCCACTGGGATGTTTCTCTTAGACAGAGGAATTCTTAAAATCATGACAGTACCTACATACACCCCCAGATTACTGCTCAGGTCTCCTGACTTCATGTGCCCTCCCTCTCTAGAACCCAGGAAGGAGAATATGGCTAGCCAGTGAGCATAGCCTGGCAAATCTGCTGACCTGTGCTGATGCCACACACTCCTGGAGTCGCCCCAGCAAGGGCCAGCATGGCACGTACAATCCAGACCATGGCCGGGCCCTCCCCCAAGCAGCCAGGCAGCACCCTAGGGCATCACACACAGCATTCCATGGCATTGCCATGGGAGGAAACAACTGTACAGCTGCTGTGCCTACTGTTTCCAGTTAGCACGGAAAACCTGCCTTTGCCCTCTGCGGGGCAAGTGCTTTGTACACCCACATGATGGGACAGCCACAGAAAACCCGGATGGAGATTTTTACTGTTCAAAACGTAGAGCCTGTAAGTCAGAAATCCATGTGGGACTGGAGATGTGGCATAGTGGTGATGGACCTAGCATACACACTGCACCACAGGCCAAAAACCCTACCTGGGCCCAGAGCATGCCCGAAATCCCAGCACTCAGGAAGCTGAGGCAGGATTGCCACAAGTTCCAGATCAGCCTGGACCACATAGTAAGAGCCTGTCTCCAAAACACTAAATTTACAAGTAAACAAACTGAGAAAGAGACATGACTGCTACAAGTGTGGCACCCATGTTGAATGTTCGCTGTGGGAACTTGTCCAGACGAGCAGGAACAAACAGGACAGAGATGGGCAGAGGAGGTGAGGAAGCACTTCAGTGAAGGAGACCCCAAAGACACAGCCCTCTGGGAGAGCCTCCGATGGGGCTTGGGTCCCAACGTCTCACACTTCTGCCACCTCTGATCATCTGTCTAGAATAAAGCCAGAGCTGGGGTGTGTGTATATAGCACAGTGATCCAGCACCGGCCTAGCATGCTGCTGTCCCTGGGTTCAGTTCTCAGAATGGCAACAAAGAATCAAACAGAGGGAAGGTGCCCCAGGATGTATGCCAGCAGGGCATACTGTGGGGCCCCACAGGGGATCTTACAGCAGCTCTCCTGACCTGTCACTACAGCGTGGTTTACAGATGAAGGAGGAGGACTCTGGTGGGGGGGGGCGGGTGCTTGTGCCTCACCCTTCAGGAGGGGCAGAGACAAGTTCTCTCTTGGGACAAGCAGTGAGCCAGTGATTGTTTCCAAGTTTGTGTCTTTTTTATCCTTTGAATGTTGAGCCATGTAAATGTATTATTTATTTCAAAACTAAATAAAATTTACATTTTAGAAACTCAGTTCTCTTAATTTTGCATTATTAACAGCACTTGAGTCAAATATCACAAAATCAACACCAAACACATTTTAAACATTCTTTTAAGCCAGGCAGACATGCATTTAATCCCAGCGCTTGGGAGGCAGAAGCAGGTGGATCTCTGTGAGTTTGAGGCCAGCCTGGGCCACAGAATGAGTTCCAGGACAGCCAGGACTGTTACACAGAGAAACCTTGTCTCAAAAAAATATAATAATAAATAAAATAAAAATTCTTTTCATAAAATACTGGGAAATGCTTATACAACTGTGATCTTTTTTTAATGATTTGTTTTTATGTGACTTGGTGTTTTGCCTGCATGTATTTCTGTGAGAGTGTCAGATCCCCTGGAACTGAAGTGACAGGCAGGTGTGAGCTGTCATGTGGGTGCTGGGAACTGAACCCCAGTCTTCTGGAAGAGCAGCCAGTGATCTTAACTGCTGAACCATTTCTCCAGCCCCTACCATGGTGATCTTAAAAATACTGAATCAGCCGGGCGGTGGTGGCGCACGCCTTTAATCCCAGCACTCGGGAGGCAGAGGCAGGCGGATCTCTGTGAGTTCGAGGCCAGCCTGGGCTACAGCGCGAGATCCAGGAAAGGCGCAAAGCTACACAGAGAAACCCTGTCTCGAAAAACCAAAAAAAAAAAAAAAAAAAAAAAACTGAATCATGGGGGATGGTTCAGTGTAGAACACTGGCTTAGTGTGGCTCCATCTCCCCAGCATTGCTCATCCCCCCAAAAAACTAAGAATACACCAAGATGCTTGACACTGGTGGGCAGGCAGCTAGCAGCAAGCAGTGTGACCATTGTCTCTCCTGCAGGAGCCTAGCCATGCTCAGGCCTGGACTTTCCCCCACAATCCCATGTTTCCATGCTGGACTATTTATTTGTATGTTTTTGTGCATGTGTGGATGTGGATGTGCATGCCACAGCACAAGTTAGAGAACAACTTTGTGGAGTCAGGCCTGTCCTTCCCCCTTTAGGTTCCGGGGATTGAACTCAGGAGTCCAGGCTCGGGTGGCCAGCACCTTTACCCACTGAGCCATCTCGACAGCCCTGGACTTTAAAAGAGAAAAAAATTCAATGTCTAGATTTCACTGGAGGTAGAGATTCCTACTTCCCCCGTGGCTGGGACGGTGGTTACACCCATGCAGACATTGGTAATAACTCATCAAGTTAAAAATTAATGCCTTTGTGCTTTATCATGCAGACGTCAAATCTCGGGTTTTATAGTCAGAGCCAGTCAGCAAAGGGGGTTGGGGGAACACCAGTACCAATTACTGATGTTTGCTTTTCTGAAACACAGGGTCAGGGGTAGCCTAGAACTCATTATGCAGCCTAGGCTGACCTTGGTAATTTTTTTTGAGACAGTCTCACATAGCCAAAGCTAGCTTCAAACTGGCTACGTAGCGAAGGATAACCTTGAACTCACTGTTTGCCTTCACTCTGTGAGTGCTGGGAATATATGCCCAGCTTTATTTGGTGCTGGCGATCAAACCCAGAGCTTTGTAGGTGCTAAGCAAGTACTCTACCCTCTGGACTATATTCTGAGCTCTGAGATTAACTTTTTTTCTAAGATTTATTTTATGTGCATGAGTGCTTTGCCCCATGTAGGTCTGTGTACCCCACGCATGCCTGGTGGCCAAGGTGGTCAGAAGAGGGTATCAGATCCCCTGGAAATGGAGTTAGAGACTACTTAAGTGTCATGTGGGTACTGGGAATTCAACCTGGGGCTGGGAGAGCAGCCAGTGCTCTTAAGCACTGAGCCATCTCTCCAGCCCCTGGTCATGAACTCTTGATCCTCTGTGCCTGGATCACAGTAAAGCATTACTATGGTGGTCTGGAGTTACTGGAAAGGGCTCCACCATGGAGTCTTCGAGAACCTGTGTGCTTCCTCCCTGCCTCCTGGGAACCACCTTGTCTGTAAAGGATTTGGTAATGTATAGACCTGCTGTCCATGCTGAGACTGGTAGCGAAATGAAGGCACGGTTAAAGCAGATGGAGTCAGTGTGGAAGAGAGACACAAGCCGAGGGTGGAGGCGGCAGCAGGTCACACCAGCTCAGACTGCCCTTCCAAATCCAAGTGAGGCACTCAGCAATGAGCCTCACCGTGGCTCAGTTTCATTGTCCTTCCAAATAGGCCTCAGGGGCCAGAAATTCTGGCTCCTGAACTCTTTAACTGGGGTGCGGTACAGATCTCCTGGGGACACATTTGACATTTGATGGGGGCAGGATACACTGGTGAAATCCATGAAGTGAACAAAGGAACCAAGAGAAGAGACTTGATTGTATGTTTTGGAGCCACCAAGGTCACCTACCACTAGCTGATAGCGACTGCCAGCACCGGGCCTGGCAGGCTCTAGTCCCCCTCCAGATCTGCTCAGTACTGCAAGCTCGTGACCAGGGTAGTAATACGTCAGGTGACAACACAGCCCTTCCTGGGGCTGGGGGGCCTAGGGGACAGATAAGCCACACACTGAGGTCACCCACCCTTCCTCTCTCAGAAACTACCACATGATAAGTGAGGCCTTTCTTATCAGCCGGGCACCACCTCTCCAGGCCCTCTGCTTCCTGAAGGGCAGGCAGGACAGAAAAGATCTGTGGCAGGAATCAGGCCTTCCTCTGAGGAGGCTGGCTAGGCTTCTCCACCTCTCTGGGCCTGCTCCCTTCCATCTCCCAGGAGTGAGGCCCCACCCAAATCAGTGTCCGAGGTGAGTCTTCCTCTGCCTTTGTATCCATCCAAGACACAGGCTGGGGACCAATCAGCAATGGTGACTACCATGACACTTACGTGCTTGTCACCATGAGCCAAGCCACCACTCTTGGGCCTGATCCTCACCCTGTGGTGCCAATCCCTCCCACAAGGTCCCTGATGGCCTCCTCCCTGATGGCCACCTTAAGGCCTAACAAGTACAGCACCCCTCCTCCAGGCCAGGCACACCAGTGAGGCTGTCAACACAGCAGCAGTCTGTCCACCTGAAGGACACCAGCAGACCCCAAGTCAACATTCTCAACAGGAGCCCAGCCTTCTAGACTCCCCCAGGAGCTACCACACGCCATTGTTCATCTCCTGCAAATAAAAAAGTATCACCACCAATGGCATCCTTAATCTGGAACCGGGACCTCCTGGAAGTCCAGGGAGACTAACCCTGAATGGGTCAAACTTGGGGCTGGGGAGTACATTAGCATCCATCACCCACAACTGCCAGGACTCCGAGAAGCGACTTAGGCAGAAGGCAAGGAGACCCTCCGATCTACATGTAGGATCAGGACCGGCCGGTAACCTCTTGTCCCACTTTCTGGAATTGGGGGGTGGGGGAGAGGTCACATTTTCAGGCCTGGGGAATGGCCTAAAATCTCTTGGCAGTAACAGTGGGGCCCAGCACAGAGGTGGCAAGGTCTAGGGCCCTTCCTGCTCCCCACCCTCACTCATGTGGCCCAGCAGCCTGCACTCTTGCACCCCCAGCCATGCTGTACTCAGGAGCACTGAGCAGCAGGTGCCTCGGCCAGACCGCTTCAGCAGACTGCTGGCTTCGGCTCCTGGCAGCACATTATGGCCCACAAGCTCATGCCACAAAGGTTGAATTTCACAGCCCAGCAAAATCCCTGGGCAGGGTGATCCGGCCCTCCTCCCCAGTCTCGAAGTTCCTCGGGGTGTGAACCCCGCTCTGCAGCCGGGGTGCCTTTATCCTGAAAGATGGTGCGCTCATTAACAAGCCTCCAATCTGCACAAGTTTCCAGCAGAAACCAGCTCTTCAGGCTGGGCAAGAAGCTTGCCCAGGGTGATAACACCAGCCCTGAGGCCCATAAGCACCATGTGACACCCACTGTGAGTGGGTGAGGAGCCCATCCCTGTGGCTGGGCAGGAGGCCTGGAAAACCCCCCTGGTCCGGATGAGGAGACGTGATGCAGGGAACTCAAAGCCTGTGATGGAGCAGGTGCAGAGCAGAGCTGAGCACAGAAGCCCAGGCTAGCACTTGCCAATCCTGACTGAGGGCAAAAGGGAATGCTGGGCCAATCCCAGGCCTGGGTGGGGAAGCCTATGATTCAGTGTGAGCTGCTTCAAACACACAGACTGGCTCCTACCTCTCACCTCCTGTCACAGCTGCCCACTCAGCCCTTCTTGTCCTCTTGGACATAGGATCAAGTCCAACTCCACAGGCCATTTATGAGGCTGAGAGCACAGGAGGACTGGTTACAACGGTACAGGCCTGTCCTGGCCTCAGCACATTCTGTCCCTGCCCTCTGTTCCTGTTCCTCCTCTCCTGCTTGGGTCAGCTGTCACCTCCCCGGGACTCCAGGTCCTCACCCATATCCTCAGCTGAGCTAGTGCACTTGAGTAGGAGTGTGGAGAGCCAAGGCTCTTTGAGAGCCTGCCTGACTTGGCAGCCCTACCCCCAAAGCATGCAACAGACCAGGCAGGTTCTTCTGTACAGTCAGAGATCCATGTATGTAAAGTGCCAGGTACAATGCTCTCAAAAATACTTCTGCCCCCCCAAATACAGTGCCAAGGGTGCCCCCGAGTCTAGCTCTTGCCCGTGAGATCCAATGGCTGCAAGAAGGGTGGCAGAGGCAGCTCATCCAAGGCCTCGGGGAAGCGGCCAGGTGAGATGGTGGTCACCAGCACCTGCATGGCTCGTACAAAGAGGGAGGGTGGCGCCAGCCCTGCTAGCCACTGGAACTTGTCCTCTCCCAGCAGCTTCTGCCAGCGTAGCCGGTCTCCCAGCAGCTCACATCGAGCTGGGCCCACAGCAGCCCCCGTGGTGTACAGTGCCAGCAGGTCAAGCAGCAGCAGGCGGCGCTGACACAGCTCCCCAGGCGGAGTGGTGCTGGTGGTGGCAGCGTGGACGGTGGCAGAGGAGGCCTCAGCAGCAGTAGGGGCTGAGCTGGCGTCCCGGCCCAGCTGGCGCAGCAGCAGCTCCAACGGTGTAAAGCCACCACCGTCTCGCAGGCCTGGAGAAGCTCCGTGGCCAAGCAGCAGGAAGAGACACTCGGGGCGCGCAAGCTCACAGGCCACGTGCAGCGACGTGCCACCGCCCTCCACACGGCTGCAGCCACGTCGGTCCAGAAGGCGCATGCGCTCTTCCAGTGGAAAGTCCCGCACGGTTCGCAGGATGTGCCGCAGGATGCCCACGCGGTTGTAGCGCACCGCCAGCGCCACGTGCGGTCCAGGCGCCGTGCAACAGCGGAAGCCCGCGCTAGGCGGGGCGAGCGCGCGCCGGGGGAAGGTGGCCAGCAGGTAGTGAGCATAGGCTTGGTGGTCGTGCACGAGCGCGTACAGCAGAGCCTCCGACGGTGAATAGGCGGCGGCGCGCCCGCGCTCGTCCCAGTGGAAGGCCTCGCTGGCGCGCATGTCCTCCAGTAGCCACACGGGCAGCAGATCGCGCACTGCCTGGTAGAAGGCGAAGGACGACTTCCGGCACTGCTTCTGCACCCGCAAGCGAGCTGAGCCTGCGCCCTCGGGCCCACCGTTGGCACTGCGTCCGGGCCTGGCGTCCCACGGCATGCTGGCCTCTGGGAGTCTCCTGGCCTCAAGGCATGGGTCGCACCACCCAGACCAACCTGTGGGGCAAAGGGAAAAAGTGAAGGCTTTGGTCACAACTCCCCTGGCCTGAGAAATGGCACCCACCCTCACCTCACACAGACCTCGGGTCTTGGATGTCTCTGTCACAGCCCCTTTTCCCATCACCAGCATCGCCTCTACTAGTCACTGCCCCCAGCTCTATTCTCTCCTAGGCCCAGAACCATGCTTGAATTTCTACATCTACAGCCTGTCTCTAGCTTGTGTTAGAGGCTGGACCTGCCGGAGCCTTCAGTATCCCAACCCTCTGCGACTCTGGGACCTCCGAGAAGAGCTCCTGTTCACACCTGAGCCAGGTCCCGCCAATCACAAAGAGGAATCCATGTGACACCTAAGACTCAGGCCCCCAGCACAAGCTGAGCTCAACTCATCCAGCCCCAAACCCTGCCCCCCCACTTCTACCCTAACCCCCAGCAGAGTACCCTGAGGGCTTCTTTCCAAGAGGGTCGTGGACATAACTACTCAGTGAGACCTACCCGGTTCCTGCAGGCGGCCCTGGGTTCTATAGACGGGGTTATTCACTTTGCTGCACCAATTCCCAGCTTCCTCACCAGCAAGAAAGTGGTAACTGGTGGCTGCCAGTGCACCCCCCAGCCCGAGTTGGGAGTGGCTCTGGCTCCTTCATCCACAAACAATTTTGCTGCCCATCAGGAATGAGCTTCTGGGAGGAGGGAAAAGGTGAAGTCAACGGAGGGATTGGAGTGTTCACCATCTACAGTCCACTCCAAGTCCAGCCACATGAGGCCGGTAATGCCACCCCACTTTTCAACAGGGGACAAGTTAGTCCAAGGTCAGTCACCAAGTCAGGTAGAGCCAGGACAAGAGCCTGGGTCTCCTGCGTTCTGTTTGGGCCCATTTCAGACATTGCAGACCCCAGCTTAAGCCTTATCTCTGCCCTGGGCCCCAGCCTCAACCTGAGCCCTGGCACCCCGGCCCAAGTGCCCTACCACCTCGAGCAAGGGTAAGCCCTAGGTCACAAGGGACCCGGGACGGCGAGTGGGCCTTGTCCACACACTGTGTGTCACGACTATTCGTGGTAATTGGGTTGCAGAGGTGGGCACTATGGAGTGGGCTGCGGCAGACGCCCCTCTGGGGCGATGCCATGACTGCAGCGCCTTCCCGAGCCTGGGCCCCCGCGCCCCAGGTGTACTGTGTGGGCACGCGTGGGGTGCCGGGCGGGTTACGTAAAGTTCGGCCGCCCCACGTCACTGGGCAGAGTCACGGCCGCGGCTCCGTGACTGGAGGTTGGGCCGCCGGCCAGATCCTCCCTGACCCTTCCCGGCAAGGACCGACCGACCTCGGCCGCGGCGGCTGCGGGGCGCGCCCGAGTGTCTGCTGGCCAGTGGCCAGGATCGGGGCTGCACCTGCGCGCGGGGGCGCTCGGGGCAGGCGACTCACCAAGCCGCGCGACCCTGTCCCTGCGGCGGGTCGGAGCGCGCGCCGTCCATGCACCGGCGAGCAGATGGAGATCCCGCGACGCCGGACGTGGAGAGGGCCGCCGCCGCCCGCGCCCGCTGCACTCTGATCCCCCGCGACCGGGTCTCCGGGTGCCGGTGCCGGTGCCGGTGCGGCCCAGGGGCGGGCGGCGGGCGGCGCAGTGCGGCCGGGGCCGGGCAGCACCGCGGGCCGGGCCGCCGCCTCCATTGGCTCACGCTGCCGGCCCCCGCCGCAACCCATTGGTCGCCGCGCTGCACCATTGTTGCGTCACGGGCCAAGGGGCGGGGCGCTCAGCGGGACCCGCGGAAAACTTCGGAGAAACTTGAGGGCGCGGGGGTGGGGGGGTGAGAGAGACCGGGTACGGGGCGGAGCTTGGAGGGCGGGGCATCACGGGGGCGGGGCGAGTCCGGGCAGGAGCCTGGAGCTGGGTTTGTGCGTCCAAGCCCCGGGCCACAGGAATAGGCTCCCAGGCCTGTGTCAAATGTGGCTGTCTTTGCTCTTCGGCTCGAGTCGTAGTCTGGGCCTTTGAAGGAAGCTGGCATTCCAGGCTGTTTTTCACCCAGGAGGAACTGGACAGGCCACCTAGCCTTCCCACAAAGGACCCTGGAGCTTGAGATCCTGACTTTGGAGGGTTTAGGAGCCCAATGTCTGTTGCAAAAGCACTAATTAATACTGTTACACCTAGGCCTTGGATCTCCTTTACCCCCACATTATCCCCGGTGAAGTCTCAAATTCCATTCACAGGCTCTTCTATCTTCTTTTCCCGGAATGCCTTAGCAGTCCCATCTTGACTCTATGCCTCCCTGACGGTCTGAGGGACTTAACTAGGCTGAATGAAGTCTATCTCACCTGCGTCCTCTGAGCAAACCCAAGCGGGCATCTGCCCAGAATCCCAGGTACACCCACACTTTCAGACACACGTGTTTTGGGGGCATCTGTAGCCCTGTACCCTAGAAGGCCAGATAAACAATCCCAATAGGTAGTGCGGCGCTGAAGTCTAGAGAGGGGACAGACAGCTCGGTGTGCAGACCTCTTTGTAACCCAGACTACAAAACATGTTTGCACCAGTCTGCCTGCAGAGACCCCAGTACACCCCTGCGCCATCAAGACAGTGTCACTTCTAGACTAAACCAACTCCTAGGAGATCCATGGCAACTACCAGTCATGGCCAGGAGTAAGAGCTCCAGAGAACACCAGGCTGTGGGTCCGAGCCCTGCCTTTCCCAGGCCTCGGCACTCAACAAGTCTTCTCTGGTGTCTTCAAGCTTTTTTCTTCTAAATATGAGGGGGAGTGTGGCAAAGTGAATGACCTTTGGGAGCCCCCAGCTCCTCCTCTACCCTAGGGAGATGTTGGGAGAGAGTCTCCTGCCGCTCGTCACGTGGCTCCTTACCCAATCCTAATTTTCCAGAGCTTAAGGTGAGACATAGCTCCTTCCACAGCAGTTGTATAATGAGGGTGAAAGGGCACAGGTTACAAGACCATGGGGGTACTTGGCTTCAGGGACTCCATGCTGTCCTCTGACTTCCTCTCCCAGCTGGGGTTCCCAGAGGACTCTAAGTTCAGCCTGATCTCACTTCTCAACCGCTCAGAAGCATTGCATGGGCAGGGACTCAGCCAAGAAGTCCAGGTGGTTTGCGGGAAGGCACTCCCAGGGGGAGTTCAGGAGGAACGTGCGCGAGAGAGCATTAGGAGAGCCCAGAGGTCAGTGGGCCACAGCTAGTCCCGTGGACTTTACCTGCTGAGACAGGAGCATGGATGCATGCTGCAGACCTGAGGTGCAGGTGGAGTTGGAGAAAGTCATTTTGCTTGTTAGTTCAGACATCACACAAAAATAACACTGGCTCCCGAGAGCCAGTGAACTGGGGTAAGAAACAGCAGGCAGGATGGTGTGCTGTCACATAATCAGCCTTCAGCCGGCTGGGTGGGTGGATTGCCGTTAGTTCAAGGCTATCCTGAGCCATATACAAGACCCTGGGGAGGAGAAAGACAAGAGTCGGGTAGATCTGAACAGGACAGAGGTCTCGGCACCTAGACCCATTCCCTGTCTTTGGCTGTTGGTGGCAGATGACTTTGTACCTTTCTCCGTCATGGCACCAAACAATCCCCACCCTCAGCAGCTTGCCTTTTCCCCAAGGTCACAGCCATGGCTTGAACGTGTCCCTTGGGGCTCATGTGTTGGAAACCAAGTCCCCAAGAGCAACTATGTTGAGAGGTTGTAAGGTCAGGAGGCCTTGGCCCTTGGCAATGGTTGATGCTTTTTCTGGAGAGGCCACTTGACAAAAGTTCCACCATTCGGTCTCTCTCCCATCTCTCCTTTCTCCTCGTCCAGAACTGTCACAGGTATATCCCTGCCCCTCCCAAGTTGCCCAGCTTCAGTGCTGCCCAGAGCAGGCTGACACCACCCACCCTCGAGGCCTGCCCACTGCTCTTGGTGAGGCTTGCTGGGTAAACGGTGCCCTGTGCCCTGGCATGAAGGATTCCAGTGCTGTGGCCATCCTTGCCCACACCTGTGGGGACCACAGCCAGGCCTACGATTGTAGCCCCCACCCCAACCTGTCATTGCTGCCTTCAAGGGTACCCAGGGGACAATGTAGATGGTCGTGAAGGGGTAACGTCCTTCTTAGAAGGTCGAATGGATGTGGGAAGTGGAGAGCAGCTGGGGCACAGCATGATTCCCACGGAGACAGAGGAGGCCCCAAAGTTGGGGCGGGGTTTGGAAATGAAGCAGAAAGTCTTGCTAACTGGGCATAGAGTTTGACCTTTGACCCTGACTTGTGTTTGCTGAGACCTGACCCAAGGCACACTTTCCTCCCTCATGGAGAGCTTGTCCTCTGCCAGGGTAAAAAATGCATGGGCATCTGGGCTGCTCTGTGAGGGCAGGGTGAGGGAAGCAGAGAGAAGGCACTGTAGACTGAGGACCTCCCCCCCACCACCACCACTTGCAGGCAAGTGCTAGGACTCAGGACTCTAAGAAAGTAGCAGGAAGGTCTCTGAGCAGAGAAGCATGTGGCCCATTCTCTCAGCTCTCCATGGCTGCTGGGGATTAACTGCAGGGGAATAGAAGGAACAGCTACTGAGGCTGGGGGGGGGGGGGGGGGGGGGACGGACAGACATGGACGACAGCGGAGGGGCCATGTACTACATGGATTCCACTTGGTTTGATGTGTGAGGAGAGAGGCCTACAGTTTCAGGCCGAGTACCTGGAAGCTGGAGAGGAAACTGGAAGAGGTGTGTCCATAGCAACAGGAAGTTGAGGAGAAGGCCTGCCTGATGATGAACAGCTGGGACTGTGGGTACAAAGAATGTGCTCAAGGACCAGGGAGATGCTCAGCCAGTGAACATCCTAGCTGCCAAGCCTGATGTCTTGAGTTCAGTCCCTGGGACCCCAGGACCTGGTGGAGGGAGAGAACATACTCCCTTGGGTTGTCTGACCTCCACTCAAGCTGTGGCATGCACGTTGACACGAAGCTGGGGCAGCACAGAGGAGAAGTGAAGTCCAATGCAAGAAGCTGGTACTTCCGGCAAAGGAAAAAGACCTCAGAAGCCAAAAACCATGTAGGGGTCCTGGAAAGCTGACATGGCCTCGGGTCAGCAGTGGTGCCAGGCAGCTGGGACAGGAACATTGCCACACGTAGGTCACAGTGTCCTTCACCAAGGTTGGGTGGAGTAAGAACCCTATTTGGACAGGGTTCAGGGCCCAGTGAGCAGAGCCTGGAGCAGTTTCTGAGGGGGTAGAGGAAGGGACAGAACTGGATGGCAAGGAGGGTAGAATAAGGTAAAAATAACAGGCTTGTGCAGTGTGTACATGTGCCCGAGAGTGTGGGTGGGTGTCCACATGGGCCCCTGAACCGATCCAGTCATGTTGTGTCTGAGCACCATGCAGTGCACTGACGGATCACATCCCCCATGAGGAGGGGCATCCCCCTCTGCCCTCACACAAGTCTGTCCATCCCTCCCGGGAAACCCCCTTCATGACAGACCCCAGGCAGCCGCGACGGGCAACTGTGAAACCCTGTGGAGGGTGCGTGTGGCCTGCCCTGGTGTGGAAACCTTAGAACAATGTCTGGAGAAGACTAGCAGGGGTGGTACCTGCCTGGAGGGAAGGGGGCCTCAGCTAGGGACACAGGCATCCCTTTTGTGGGGGCAGAGTGTTGATCAAGGACGCCAGGGAGGGTACGGGTACAGGTGACCGTACATCTGCTCTGATAGTTTCTTTTTTTAATGTTTTATTAGCACATATTGTACGTAGTAATGGGTGCATTATGACATTTTCAAACATGTGCATAGCGTGTGTCCATCATTTTCACCCATTACCCTTCCTTGGTTCCCTTCTGTTCCCAGCCATCCATTCCTCTTCCACCTCATCCCCTCCTTACCCTCCTTGCCTTTCTTTTTCCTTCTATTTTTGCCATGTATGGGTGTTTGCCAATGTATGTCTATGCACATGTGTGTAGTGCCTGAGGAAGCCCAGAAGCGGGTGTCAGAGCCTCTGGGACTGGAGTTACAATGGTTGTGAGACACCGTGCAGGTGCTGGGAATCAAACCTGGATCCTGTGGGAGAGCAGACAGTGCTCTTAACCACTGAGCCATTTCTCCAGCGCCCACACCTTGTTTAGGTGTGTGTATGTGTCACTGAGTTTTATCATATTGTTTACAGGACCAGGAGCACGCCCTACCAGTGATTGCACTCCCTTCCCTATCGAGGGCTAACTGCACATCAACCCTCTGTGAGAGGCGGGGCCCATGAACCACTCTTTTTTTTTTTTTTTTTTTTTTGGTTTTTCGAGACAGGGTTTCTCTGTGTAGCTTTGCGCCTTTTCCTGGAACTCACTTGGTAGCCCAGGCTGGCCTCGAACTCACAGAGATCCGCCTGGCTCTGCCTCCCGAGTGCTGGGATTAAAGGCGTGCACCACCACCGCCCGGCTTTTTTTTTTTCTTTTTAATTAACATTCATTAGTATTTATTAATATGGTACAGTGTGATCATTTGAAACATATATAGTATAATATGCAATGATCAAATCAGGCTAATTATAATTTCCATCTCCTCTAATATTCTCATGTATGGTGATATTTTATTTGTGCTGAAATGTGATTTTATTTGTATGTTAATAAATAAAAGTGCCTGGGGGTCAGAGCTAATAGCAAGCCATTTAGCAGAAGTCT